ACCGATTCTAAGGGAGAGAGGAGTACTGTGAGAAAGAAGGAAACTGACCCAGAAAAGTTAGGGTTGAGTTGTTGGAATCAGCAGCAGACTGATAGATTTTCAGATATTGTAGTATTATGAAAACAGTGTATTCTAGGATGATAAGTGTGGCAGTTGTGTGCAGGGTTATCTTAAAAGGAAGAATGACTGAAGATAGTGAGAACATCATGAGTAATTGTGATAGGCCCCAAAAAAGTTTTTGCAATAATTTCTTAGAAAACAGAAACATGTTTTTTTTATCCTAAAGGTAAAAAAAAAAGAAACTAGAAGTATTGCCTCATCTGAGAAACAACTGATTCTCTATGGATTTCATTATTTTCCTATACTGTAATTATGGCCTTAATCACTTTAAATTCTCTTATAAACCTGATTTTCTTGCATAGCTTTCATTATTTTGCAGTTAAACTGTTTTTCTCTAAATATAAAATGATTTAGTGTTCATCTGTTTTTGTTTTGTAGAATATAGTCGGTATAATGCTCTGAATGTTCCACTCCACAATAGGAGACATCAGGTAAAGACAGTTTTTATTTTCGGCGATGTGCATGTCAGACTTTTCATAAACAAGACTTAGTTGTTTAGGTCTTTGCTTAGTGCACTAAACCATTATGTTTAACTCATGCTATACTTTCTCATGCATTTGTTTAAAATTGCACACTGTTTATTGAATTCTTAAGTATTACAAATTTTTGCTGTCTCTTGTCTGATAACATTAGAACTGAACCCCTTGTGCTTTGGTGCTGGTCTGCTTATGGGCTCCACCAGTTTTATGAACCATACCTTTCTTCTAGGTTGTTGAATCTTGGACTTGAACAGTTAAGTGGAAGAACTGTATTTGCCAAAACTGGTGGCTTTCTCATTTGCTTAGATGGGAATGTTAGAATCCAAGTGGAAGCAAATTAATTTAAATTAAGGAATAATTATAAAGTATACTAGAATTCAGATGTTTCCTATAAAAGGAAACTTTTGAGAATAACAGTTTGATGGTTGACTATAACTGTATACTTTTCATTTTAAAGTTGAAGATGCGGGACATTGCAGGGCAGGCCCTGTCTTTCATTCAAGATCTTGTGACGGCTCTTCTGAACTTTCACACCTATACAGAACAGAAGATTCAGATTTTTCCTATTGATTCTGCCATTGACACTATATCTCCATTGAATCAGAAGGTAAATTTGACTCAGGATACCTTTTGTTTGCTGTGAAGAAGTAGGAAGACATGTTACTCATTTTCAGACCCCTTTTGTGTACCAACCAAGTACTGGGTAGGGCATGGAAAGAAACTCTAATCATAGTCTTCATACTTACTCAACCTCCACGTTTTAATGACCTTCATCATTCATATTTTCTTTTACCTTGTATAATAAAACACTTTCTACTCAATACTTGTTCTTCACTGGAATTTTATTTTAGGTTGTTGTCATATTATGCTCATATGATGAGAATCAAATATGTTAACCTTGACATATCTGTTACTACTTCATTACTTTGAAGAATTCATAGATTTCTTGGTTTTTACCTTTGGTGCTTTGGCCTATGAAAAAGGCCCTGTGTCTATTATTGAATGAGATTCAAAAACCATATGTTAAAAGGGGACTAGGGTGTTCAGATTTGCTCATAAAATCATAAAGTAGATATTTAAACCTATAAGCTTGGAGTTCAACTTATTTTACAGCTGTAAAGACTGAAGCCCAGAGGGGTGAAGTGAGTTTTCCAAGGCCATATATATCTGTGTAGTTTGCAGTGGAGCCAGTTGAATCACATTTCTGCAAAGCGAGACTGCACATTTCCATACTGAGAAACTGAAATTTGAGCCATTCTGCAATACTTAGGTAGTTGAGATACTTTGTAAGTGAAAACTAACTTTTTGCTTCTGAATTGTCTAAATGCCTGTAGGATCTTTTTCTGAATCTAGTCTTCATAGTGAATTAGTCCTTTGTAAATACTAAGGTGTATATATATATATATATATATATATATATATATATGTAAGTAGTAAGGTATAAAAGTCTTACTAGCCTATTTTGATGATAATTACATTCCTGGAATTTATTAACCCAAAATATTGTACACAGTAAAAATAAGAAGCTGTCTTCAATTGACTTGTTTTTTAAAAATGAGGTACATAACACAAAATCTGTCATACAGTTTTGATTTTTAAATCTTTCTCTCTCTCTCTCTTTTTTTTAAAACTGAGACCCCCTATGGTAGGTGTTTAGGGAGGGAGGCCTGTTGATACTGGGTTATAAAGTATCATCCCCTCCCCATTTCCTCCTATACTTGGTTGTTAATTATGTTACCCCTCTCCTAGTTCCTCTAGAATGGGATAGGGACTTGGATACAGTATCTGGGCTTGTTAGAGGGGAGCATCTCTGTGTAAAAGCCAAATTTCCCCAAAAAATGTTTCCAAAAGAATTTAGGTTCACAAATCAGTGAGTCCATTTACAAATGTGTTTATTCATTATTTTCCAGTGATTCAACTCACAGTTCTTTCCCTTGTATTTAGTTCTCACAATATCTTCATGAAAATGCGTCCTATGTCCGCCCTCTTGAGGAAGGAATGCTTCATTTATTTGAAAGTATTACTGAGGATACTGTGACTGTCCTGGTAATTTTCTTGTTTTACTTCTGGAAATGGGAGCTTCTCTATGTCAGATAACACTATTAACCCTGAAATTGTTTTTCTTTTTCAGGAGACAACTGTGAAATTGAAAACTTTTTCAGAGCATTTAACCTCTTACATATGTTTTCTTAGGAAGATTCTTCCTTATCAGTTAAAAAGGTACTTACCCCTTGAGGCTAAGGAGCTTGGGATATTGTGGGGTGTCACCTGACTTGTGCTGGAGTTAATAAAATGTGATCTGCCTGACCTTTCTGTACCTTAACCAATTTGAACTTTTCTAAAAAAGGGAAATTGTGGCTTGAGCAGCATGGACTTACATTTAAGAAAACTGAATTGTTCATAAACTAGGGGTTTTTAGTAGTTCTAGCCTGTGATTACTACTGACGTCACATAATGCTGTGAACCAGTATTTTCAACGATTGTGAATGACACATTTATTGAAAGAAATATTTCAGGTTTGCTTTGTCGTTCAAGGTGCTATAAAAATCTTGACTAGGGTTTTAATGGTTAACTTCTACATTTGAATCTATAATTCTTAGGTTTCTTTGAAGTAGTATCTTATTACTGGTGACTTTAAGTTATAAAATAAAATTTTGGTGTATCTACTTCAGCCCTCTTATATGTCATTTAATAGACTTAAATATTTCTAGAAAAGCAAGAGAAAACAATCTGTGTAACTGGAAATTTAATAATACTGCTTGCATGTTTTGATACTTTTGGTCTAAAACTACTAAGACTCCTAATTCATCTAAATCTTTTCATCCCAAAATTTAGCCTTTAAAAAATAAATGAAAGAATAATATAACTGGAACATGAGAGAAATGTGAACACATATGTATTATAGTATATTGCAGAATGAGGCTTAGAAAATATGCCTCATTACTTACAGAATGAAAATATACAAATAACTGTAGTTCATAAGTCCATGTAAAACTAAAGTAGTAGGATAGCTTTTCAAAAATATAAAGAATTTCATTACTCAAAAAAATTAATATGCGTTAAAAGCCATTTTATTTCCTAATTCTAACCTAACAGGGTATTTCAATAACCAAATTCTATGATTTGTGCATATGACAGAATTTTAGGAATCAGGGAATTTTGACTTTAATAATTATGAGTAATAGTTTCATTCAGATCCTTACATGTTGTGACTCAGTATAATTAAGCCTTTTTTGCAAATTGATTCTAGAAGCTTAAATATACTTTATTGATTTGGCTTCTGTTTAAGAAGAGTCTATTTAAGAACCATTGTTTGCAGAAGCATTATTTACTGCTTGCAACAGTTATGCATTTTTATTTTATCTTACTTTAGTTTCACTATTACATTTTTCAAAACACTGGAGAAGTCCTTTCTTGATATAAGATTCCTGTTCTTGGAATGTTCTGTCCCATATGCTTCCAGCCCTGCCTTATCAAATAGTCATGATTTTAGGCAATTTTTTTGGTCATTGGTTTAAATACCACTTCAATTGACAAGGTGACTTGTTCTTTATATTAAATGGGCTTAGTATTTATAGCTGTCTGCTATAAATAAAGTAGAAGAGGAGAAGTGGCAAAGTCAAGGGAATAGATGTGATTATCATTACTGTAATAGTAACTTTTCTAGCATTATGTAGAAAGCATTTTCCTTATCTGCATATTTTTAATAGACACTGTTGAGTCCATGTGTTTTTTTCTAACCATATAATTTTCCCAAGTAACCATTTAAAATAGAAAACAGAATGTATTTTATGAATATTAAGTTTATGTTTAGATTTGAGTCTATAGATTGTTTTTTTCTAATTTGGTTTTTGCAACTACATGTTCTAAAAAGTTTTCTTTTTTGTCTTTGACAAAAAGGTTTTGTCTGCTAGCTCCTGTTGGATTAATTCTCTTTAGGAATTCAGTCTAGGAAATAGTTTTCTCCTGAGATTACATTTAAGGGAAACAATTTTGTGCTGCTCTCAGGATGGAAAAATAATAGGCACTTGCCTTTATCTTTTTTCCATTTAGTCCTCTGTTATTTCACTGACATTTATAGCAAGTAGGTGTATGTATCTTGGTATAAAAAATGGAATCTTACAAATGAGATCAGGTTTTTTTTTTTTTTGCAAGCTTTCCTTGGATATAGTTGTTTGAAAATCTATAGCTAATAGCTAATTAATAGCTACAGCTAGTAGCTAATCTTATAGCTAATTGAAAAATCATTCAGAATGCTCACTTTTGAAAAATCTCCCCATTCCTAGTTTAGAAGAAGAATGTGAATCTTCTCTTTGCACATCTGTGTTAAGAGCCAGGAATCTAGAACTGTCTCAGGACATGAAAAAGATGACAGCTGTGTTTGAGAAGCTGCAGACTTACGTTGGTCTTCTTGCCTTGCCAAGTAAGTGTGTTTGTTGATCATGGTTCAGCTTGAGAATTTAGACTGCAGAGGGTAGAAAAGAGAGATGGTTTAACTTGTTTGAGTGAGAAGAACCTAGGATCTGGAGTCAGAAAAACTTCAAATCCTCCAGGCCTTATACATTTATGACCTTGGGCAAATCACTTTACTTCTCTGCACCTATTTTTGCATTTATAAAATGGAGGTAAAAATGGAGGTTAATTAAGTTAAATTAAGAATGTCCAATAGGAAGCATTGAGAATGTTCATTAACTGTTATTTCCCTTTCTCTCCTTTTTCTTTTTTAAATGGAGAGGGGAAAAGCATAAGAATTTATCGCAACTTTCTAAAAAATAGTGTAGGGGAGGATTAGTAGTAAAAGTACCATCTGTTTACATTTGATCTAATTTGAAGAGTATTTTTAAGTAATTGAAGGGACCTCAGTTTAAATGATGTTTTTGAGAATGCCATGATTTTCTGGTACTGTGATTTGTTTCTTTTCTGTAACAGCTTTAATGTGATATAATTTATATACCGTATAATCTACCCATTTAAAGTATGCAATTCAATGGTTTTTAGCATATTCACAGGTATATACAACCATCATCACAGTCAGTTTTAGAATGTTTTCATCACCTCAAGAAGAAACTGTATACTTCAGCTATCACCTGCTTATTCTCCCCTTCCACTCCTCTCCAGCACTAAGCAACTACCAGTTTGTTTTCTATAGATTTGGCCATTCTGAACATTCAATATAAAGGATCAAATAATACATGGTCTTTTGTGATTGTTTTCTTTCATTTAGCAAAATATTTTCAAGATTGATCCAAGTTGTAGCATGTATCAATATTTCATTCCTTTTTATTGTAGAACATTCCATTGTATGGATATGCCACACTTTATTTATACATTTATAACCTTGGGCAAATGTACATCAGTGGACACTTTGGGTTGTTTCTACCTTTTGGCTGTTATCAATAATGATGGTATAGACTTTTGTGAACAAATGTTTAAGTGGACATACCTTTTCAATTTCTCTTGGGTATATACCTAGGAGTGGAATTGCTGTGTCATGTGGCAACTATTTAACTGTTGGAGGAACTGCCAGACTGTTTTCCAAGGTAGCTATTACCATTTTACATTTCCACTGACAATTTGTGAGGGTTCTGATTTCTCCACATCCTCACTGACACCCATTGTTATCTGACTTTTTTATTTTACCTGTCTTAGTGTTATTATCCAACTTTTTGAAGTGGTATCTTATTGTAGTTTTGATTTACATTTCCCTGATGTCTAATGGTGTCAGGCAGCTTTTCATGTCCTTATTGCCCATTTGTATACCTTCTTTGGAGATAGTTCTATTTGGATCCTTTCTCAGTTTTTCAATTGGATTATTTGTCTTTTTATTATTGAGTTGTAAGTATTTATATTTTTTAGATACAATCCCTTATCAGATAAATGATTTACAATATTTTCTCTCATTTATGGGTAATTTTTTCATTTTATTAATATTGTCCTTTTAAGCATGAAAGTTTTTAATTTTAATGAAGTCCAATTTTTCTTTTGTTGCTTGTGCTGTTCGTGTCATATCTAAGAATTCATTGTCAAATGTGAGGTCATAAAGACTTACTCCTATGTTTTCTTCTAAGGATCTTGTAGTTTTAGTTGTTACATTTAGGTCTTTGATCCATTTTGTGTTTATTTTTATATATGGTGTGAGATAAGGACCCAGCTTCATCTTTTGTATGTGTCTCTCCAGTTGGCTCAGCACCATTCATTGAAAAGACTATTCTTTCCCTATTGAATGGTCTTGGCACCCTTCTTAAGATTCAATTGATTATAGATGCATGGAGTTCTGGACTCTCAGGTTAATTCCATTGATCTATATTCCTGTCCTATTCTGTCTTGATGACTGTTGCTTTGTACTAAGTTTGAGATCAGGAAGTGAGAGTCCTCCTGCTTTGTTCTTTTTTAAGATTGCTTTGTCTCTTCTGGGTCCCCTGCAATTCCATATGAATTTTATAATCAGCTGGTCAGTTCTGCAAAGGTGTTAGTTGTGCTTCTGATAAAAAGTGCATTGAATCTGAAGATAGTTCGGGGAGTTTCTGGGTTGGATTATGTACCCCAAAGATTTGTGAAATTCTACCCCCAGTACCTGTGTGTGTGACTTTATTTGGAGATAGTATCTCTGCAGAAGTAATTAAGAAGAGGTTATACTGGTTTAGGGAGATCCCTACCGGTCCAATGACTGGCACCCTTATAAGAAGAGATTTGGAGACACAGGAGAGACACAGAGGGAAGACCATGTGAAGACAGAGGCAGGATTGGAGTTACATTGTCATAAGCTAAGAAACATGAGGCCAACAAAAGCTGGAAGAGGCAGAGAAGGATTCTCCTCTAGAGTCTTTAATGGGAGTGTGGCCCTGTCAGTACTTTGACTTCAGACTTCTGACATCCAGAATTGAGAGTAATTTTATGTTGTTTTAACCCACCCAACTTGTACTTTGTTATGGCAGCCCTAGAAAACTAATGCATGGAGTATTGCAGTCTTAACAATGTTAAGTTTTCTGATCCATGAACATGGTGTATTTTTCCATCTATGTAGATCTCTTAATTTCTTTAAACATTATTTTATAGTTTTCACAGTAAGTGTTATACTCTGATGTTACTTTTCAGAAGGTTCAGTGTTTGGCATATGCACAGTAATCCTGGGATGACTGATTTTGGCAGGCTCTTTCACAGTTTTGTTTCCTATTTATACCGAGGTCAAATCTCTACCAATTTCTGGCTGATGCTCTCTTGTTTTCAACAGTGCCTTGGGGGTATTAATTGCTCTACAGATGATCCAGTTAAATTTGGGCTCCTCTATAGGTATAGTTATAGAACTAGCAAATACCTAGTGGGTTTATTTTTTGAGATTGGTTTGAGATTTGTTCTGACCCCAAAAGGACCTTAGCACTTTCTTTCTTTGGTTCTCTCTGGCAATACACCAACCAGCCTATTGTTTAGATTATATCTTTAATGAATCTATTAATCTCCTGTTAGTTGCTTTCACCACAAGTTTCATTATTTTTGAGAGCACACTTTGGCTTGAACTTCTCCATACTTTGTTGTGAATTAAATCAGTTCCTTTGGGAAGAGATTCAGACCTTTTTGTTTTTAGGCCTGTTTCTCCCTTGGGCTAAATCTCTGAGCAAGGTTCTGGTGCTGGGGATGGAGGCAATGATGCACTTCCCTCAGAGTAACACCCCTGCAATAGTAGCTGAGCTTTTTGTGGAAGAGATGGGACAGCAGCCCCAGGTCTCTTTGGCTTGCCTCTTTTGGTGTTGAACTCTTGACAATGAACTGGGACGAGGCTATTAAGAGCCCCAGTATTCTCACCAATATCGTGACCAAGGTAGAGTTCCATCCCACCAATAGACTGGGTAAAAGAGGAGGATTTCTACTTACCAGTTTCACTCAGAGCTTAGTTTCAGCAACAGGTAGCAAGGGTCAAGAAGAGAAATGCAGCCCTCCAGCTGGCAGTTAGGGGAGAAGGAGACCTGTGTTCTTGGCTGCAACAGTCTGGAGTTGGATTTTTAGCTCACCAAGCTGGTGAGAGGAGGGAAGTGTTGGTTCAAATACCATAGACTCTGGCTGTTCTTACTGAGTTACCGATTTCCTGAGTAAATGTTTCTTCATTTGCTGTATGAACTTATGACCTGTTTCAGCCCCAGGCAAGTTCACTCTGGATTCAGTGAGACAGAATAACAACAACAGAACATTGTAAATAGAAGGATTTATGCCAAGCTTTATTCTCACAGTGGCAGGTTGAGTGCTAGAATCATGTCTGCCTGTGGCAAGTTTGTGGTTCATCTCCATCTTTGCTTCGGGAAAAGCACACTGGTTAGGGTTCTTTATATAGTAAACACCAACAATAATGGCTCATTGTGAATGGGTGTGTAAGCAGTAGCCTACACAGTAGACAATTACATCATCAAGTTGATTAGGGTCAGGCAAGAATTCTGGCCATAAGAACTTCCATTTTCCCTACAGTCCACCCCTCCAGGATTTTTGCCTCACAATCTATATGCCCTCAATCCTTCCTGATGGTCCCTGTGTGAGAAAGCTGGAGCATTGTAACCAGATCTCACAATAGCAACAGAGGCTTCAACAATATACAGATAACAACAAAAATAACAATAATCCTCAAGCCTGAGGAGATTAATTACCACCAAGTGGTCATTCCAGTTGTATTCATACCAGTCCCAGTTCACAATTCACATTTTTGTCCATGGGAGGCCTGTAGTGGAACTGATAGGGAGCTCCATGTACACCCAGCAAGTAGCAGTTTTTGCTAGGGTGTGTGCCCAATCTACAAAGACATTTGAAGAGGTTAACCTTAAGGGCAATAAGACACATGTTTTAGTAACACCAACATAAGCAAATGCAAATCTTGTCTGTCAGGTAGAATGCATGCACGAGAGTGGTCCTGTGATGGGACTGTGGCAAGAAGGGGGTTCTGTCTAGTTATAGTATACCATACCTTTACCCCTCTTCCTGTGGGGGTTAGTGACGAGTCTGTGTATAGTGCTACTGGAGGTGCATGCAGTGGTCATAAATATAAAACAAAACTCCCCAATAAGATGCTTTGACCTTCCATACATTTAGGGTATACTATCATGATCTTTGGGTGCTACTCTGCCATTACTCCAGGAATACACAGGAGGCTAGCCTCCAGACTTTGCCTTCAAGGTGCCAGGAGGGCCACCATCTCTGTTTCATGTGTCAAAATGTCCAAAGCCATGTCCACTGAATGGAGTCTTCAGGTTTTATTGCAGTTGGTGCTGGTGGAAAAATATTATTCTGGTGGCCAAACCCCAGCTTTGATGATTTCTCCTTAGTTTGTACTTGCAAATGTAAAGGGGAGGCAGCAGTGTGTGTTAGCATATCTGTGGGGTTCAGTGCCCCTTCCTGGGCGTTCTCATTCAAATACTGTAGCACTGTCCATAAGCAGACTGACCATCCCAGTAGACTATTGGTATCCAACTTCAGGCCAGAGTTTAACAAACCATTGTACCTCTCTATCATACCTGCCCCAGTAGGGTTATATGGTTCATGAAACGTCCACTTTATCCCTAACTGTTGCACCCATTCTTGTAGAGCATGTCCAGTAAAGTGGGTGCCTAGATCACTCTCAGTTACCTGCAGTCAGCCATAAGCTGCAGAGAGATGCTCTAGGCCTTTCTTTGGTCATTTGCTGGTCTGTGCAGTGAATCAGTCCAGTAGCTGTGTCCACACCAGTCGTGGCATATTGATACCCTTCTGACATGGCCAGAGGCCCAATACAATCTATCTGCCGCTTGATGAGGGGTATCAGCTCCTTAGCTATCATCCCAGGCTGCTGTGGGACTTACTGTAAGTCCCTTTTAGAGCACACAGTGCATTCCTGCCAGGCTCTACTGACTTCTTCAAAGGTAAAGGCAGTTCCCACTGGTGGGCTACAGCACACATTGTCTTTTGCCCCACATACAACAAATGATGATGTAACCATTGGGCCACATCAGCAGACTTTCCATCTGGCCAATTCATCTGCTTCATCATTTCCTGGGGATGCTAGTGGCAAATGGCTTGTCATATTATATACTATAACTGTTTAGTTTGACCAGAGGCCCATAAGTCTTGCCACAACTCTTTCCCTCAAAGGGGCCAGTGACCAGCCAACCATTTGTCATGGTACCATGTTAGATGGAAAGCTATGGCCCTCCATTTTGGGGTCTGGCAATGGCTGGAGCCATTTGTGTACCATGCATCTTCAGGTATAGGAGCTCTTCCATGCTGATAAGGGCTCTCTGATACTAATGGTTCTAAAGCAAATTCTTCCTGCCTCTCACTAGTATATGTCACTGGCTCAAATAAGTGTTGGAGTTCTTCACTCAAGGGGCTAGTAGAGAGGGTACTATGCTGCTGTAGGTACATGCCCCATTCGGCCAGTGTAGATTTCTGTGCCATGCCATTCTGTGTTTTTTGGGTCCAGTCTCATCCCACCCTGTGAAGGGATAGGTGGTTATTAGCATTATCAGGGCTGTTCTGGTGATGGGCTCTGTAGCCAGCAAGGTATGGTACCCAGCAGCCAATTGTTTCTCTGTTAAGATGTACTGTACTTCTGCTTCTTTCCAGAGTTGCAACTAGAATACAGTAGGTTGGTGAGTTTGTTCAAACTGCTGCCAGAGACCCCAACCATAACCGTCTTTGGTTACATGAACATCTAGATCATAGATGGGTCTATCACACTCATGGCCTGCATGACCTTGACTGCCAGTTTTGCAGCAGTAAAAGCAGATGCACATGTCTCATCCTAGTTCCACCTGACACCCTTTTGTACCAAGTGGTACAAAGGCTTCAGAATTTGTGCCAAGTGAGGGATGAACACTGTCCAGTAGCCTAAAAGACCCAAAAACTCCTGTAATAATGCCATAGTTGTAGGGGTGGGAAAGGAAAGGCCTGGACCTTTATCTATGACTGCTTCTGGGATAACTTTAGTCTTATGTAAGCAGACAACCCTCAAGAACTTTACTAACAAACCAGATCCCTGAACCTTGGTGCTATTCAGAACCCATCCTTCCTCCTGTAGATGTTGCAGCAGTCTAGGAACTGCCTCTTCTATATCTCAAGAGAATAGATGTGAGCATAATACCATCAGTGTAATGATACAGCTGCACCATTGGCAGTTTCTTCCATTCTGCCAACTCCTGGGCTACAAGTCCATGGCAGATGGTGGGAGTATGGATATACCACTGTGGAAGGACAGTGAAAGTCCATTGCCAGCCTTCCCATTTGAAGGCAAACTGTTCCTCACTTTCCTATGCTATGCTAATAGAAAAGAAGGCATTAGCAAGATGTACAACATAATAAGTCCCTAGTTCATGACTGAGGGTGTCCATAAGGCCTGCAACAGAGGGACAGCAGCATGCAGGGGGGTATGACTTTATTCAGTTCTCTGTAGTCAACAGTCATATGGTAGGAGCTGTTCAGCTTTTTTACTGGCTCACTGGGGATTGAAAGGACTATGGGTGGGCTGATTAATTCCCATCTTCTCCAGTTCCTGGATGGTTTCTCCAGATTCTTTAGGCTCTCCAGGATATTTGTATTGCTTGGTATTAGTCACTTACTGAAGCACAGGCAAAGCTATGGATGAGTGCTTAGTATGTCTCCTCAGAATTGCCTTCACTGTACATATCCTCAGTCTGTACTCACCTGCAGTGGTCTGCAACCATATGCCCCTCAAGATATCTATCCCCAAAATATATTAGGGGATTGGAGAGATATACAAGTATACTCCTTTGGGGGGTAGATACCCTATTCCCAGCTGGATTCGGGCTTGTTTCACTCTGCTAGCCTTAGCCCCATAGGCATCTATAACAGTGGCGTCCCGAGAAACCACTTAGAGTTGCCGTAAATCATTGAGCATTCAGCTCCTGTGTATACCAGAGCCAGGACACGTATATTCACTGGGGACCAGTGGATTGATATTTCAGCATGTGGCCTCTGGTCCCCACCCAGTCCCTCAAGGCAGGTGCCTCAACCCTCCCCTCAGTCAAACCATATAACCTATTGGTCATCCTGTGTGGGTCCAGGCAGTATCAGGTCACTCTCCAGAAGGAAGTCTTGCAGGTGCACAGGCCACATTTGTGGCTCTGTCTCCGTCCTCTGCTTCTTGGTCCTTAGTGGCTGAAACTGCTGTTCTGACTTCAGTAAGATACTGTTTGACTTCCCATCCAATTTCTGTGAGCTCCTGCCCCTATTTAATCAACCCACATCTGGGTCCTCTTGACCTCCATGGGACTCTTTAAACCCTTCCTCTCAGTAGCAGACTGCACTCCCTTCTGTGCCCACATTGCTTCAGCCTTCCCCAAATCTGCACAGTACCAGTAACTACATTTATGGGCTGACCTAAGTGAGGGGCAAGATTTGCCACTAAGGCCCCAAAGAGGGATGAGGGAGCCATTTACAGCACTGTATCCCTCATCCCTGCCATAAACAGCTCCTCATCTGGGCCATAATTTACTGAGTTATAAATGGTATTTTTCATGCCTAACTCCTAAAATACCTGTTGGAGCTCAATATATGTCTGCTCTCTAGTGGGGGAAGATGGTAAGTCATCCTGATTGGGCCATACAGTGTGAAGTGTGGCCATTACCTACTCTAGAAGTAAATGATTTCCTGGTATCTGGTGTGCATTCTGCACTTGCTTCTGCAAGATATGATGAGTTGTCTGGGAAGCCAGCTTTCCCATCTTTGATCCAGACAAAAGAATCCCATTCACCCCTACATCCCAAAGGCACAGGAGGCAGGCTGATAATGGACTCTGAGAGTTTCTGTCAAAATAGGGAACCCAAATCCACGAGCTCCACCTGTGTGTAGGGGTGGAGCATAGAATAGAGTGCTCCATGTTCTGGGGAGGGAGTTTCACCTTTCTGGAAGGAACCTGCAGTTGCTACGTCTTTATTTTCTTGACTACAACTGGATGCCTTCACTGTACATATCCTCAGTCTGTACTCACCTGCAGTGGTCTGCAACCATATGCCCCTCAAGATATCTATCCCCAAAATATATTAGGGGAT